AGCTTTTTCTTGATCTTTGACTGTCCTAGAGAGCTGAAATCGTAACATATTTCTCTAGCATGATCATTGCATAATTATATGCAAATGAAAGGGTGTCACTAATCCTATTATATTAGATTGTTCTTCAATAGAATAATGAAGGTTACTGTATATTAAAAATAACAACATGATCTCTAACTTCTTTACTTTTTTTTCCTTTTTGTCATCTTTTTCTTTGTTTATAATATCATTTTTAATCTCCAATTTTTATAAAATGCTTCATAAAATTAATATAAATTTATCTAAAATAGTTTTTTTTTATAACTCCCCGTCCGAATGAGGGGTCGATCTTAAGAAGAGAGGAAATTGTAGCATCTATATATATAAATGAGAAGTTTATCTCTTCTCCTTACGTCACGTCAGCAGCCACATAGATAAGTTGATTTACGTCGTTTTGGCACGTATCCCGTGTGGATGATAGTCTGCGTTTCATTTAGACACATATCGTACTGGATTTTTTTCGTATGTTTGATGTTGAGCTCTCAGATTCGTCACTCTACCCGGCCCGAGAAGTTGAGATTTGCCCTCTAATCCTAATTAATTTATCGGAATTTGCAGATCGTCTCTCCTTTCCTGCGATGGTAATGCGTAACTTCTGAGTTTTTTTACCCTTACTAAAACCGTCGGAGTTATAATTTCGTCTTTATTCCAGTTAATTATGTCGTCCACTATAAGATCTTTAAAAAAAAAAAATACATATTATACTGAAACAAAAAAAAATCATCCAAACTAAAACCTTTTGTTTACATTAACCATAAAACAATAATATAGTACACATTACAAACTTAATCAAATAAATATACATTAAAAACAAAACTAAGTAAAAGATAGTAGACCATTATTTCACATTAAATTATTACTCTTAAAATGTAAATCAACAATATAACAACCGTGAAAATACTTACAAGGATAATATTATTATAAATAAAAATAATAAGAGATCTAGGTCACCAAAATATAAATAAATGTCATAATAAAACACGAAACATAATGTGATAGTGAAGTACCACTCCCTTTCTTTGGCGTGAGTGAAGTTATCACTAATCTTGAAATAAACATATAAAACATCAAAATAAATAAATAAAGGAACACACAAGTAAAATCAATAGGATGACAAACAAAATTTTAAAATATTCAATAAGCTTGACAAAAAAAAGAAAATCTTTAAACATAACAAACTCCGATCGACCTAAAAAATTTGTTCATGTTTTCATATTTGGTTTTCTATTTTAATCTACTTATTACTAATTTAACATTTATATCTACTGATTCGGCTGTCAAACCAGTGCTTTCTTCTAATGCATTTATCTAGGTATGTTCATTCCGGATTTCACTCCGATTTCGGTTTTTTTTTAAAAAAATTGGTATTTCAGTTTATAAAAATTAATTATTATATTGGATCAATATTTTAATTTGGTTTGGTTTGGTTTATATCTTTTTATACAGAAATAATATAACTATATTTCTCCTAGATAAAAATTAGTTTATATAACTGGAAATCAGATTTAATTAAACATAAATATATATTCTTACAATAATTTATAAAATATAATATTTCCTACTTTATATTTATATCATAATTATTTTTTGTAAATATATCTCTAAAACAAATATTTACCAATAAAAATCATGTTTTATTTAATTTGATGAAAATGATAAAAACAAACAACTTTTTAACTTAAAGCAAAACACCAAATTAGTAGAAAAGATGGTTGAGAAACATAGTAAACATAGTTATGCAAAAAATGGATCCAAATAACCAGCTAAAGACTTGCATGTATATCTTCCCTCTCTATACATATAGATATGAATTGTCAAAGATTAACCTCAACTTTAAAATTGTCATTTTTTTTTTATTTTCAGCACAAACTGATGTAATGCCACCCTAAGGATAAAAAGAAAAACTAACTAATTATCAAAATAGCATAGTTTATTTAGATTTCAAAAATAAAAATAAAAATAAAAATAAAAAACAAATACAGAATTTAACCATTATTTATATTGTTAACTAATAAATATTAAAATAATTATTTACTCAAACTATTTCAATTATTTTCGAGTATACATTCCGCCTGTAGGGCGGGCATGCCCTAGTCTTTATATATAAAGTAAAGTTTGCTTCCCTCTTGGGAAGCCACATCAGAAAATAAAAATTTACAGTCATGACACGTGGCACTAACTACAAACATTCGAAAGTTAAAAGATTGGGCTTCCAAAATGTGTCCATAATTTCACAAACCTAGGCCCACAATGGTTTTTTACTGTCCATCGACTCTCTTCCAAATGATCGATAAGGACGATGCCGTTATGACGAACAATGTGCTTCTCAGCGCCATTAATGCTCCATTAACCTCTCCATAAACGCCACGGATCGTCGACTCCTACCACCACGTCTCAATCAATACACCACCTCCTTATGCATCTACTACTATAAATATGGGAGTTCCTTCGCTGATATTCCTCCAGAAGGCAACCTTTCTTTACTTCATTTAATAAATTATAATGGTTGATATTGGATTTCTTCTACTCATCTGGTTGGATTCAGTAGACTCGGTATCCCTCTACGTAGATTCCGTTGATCCGTTGATTAGATTGTTCTCTGTTTTCCAGATTAGAGGCGTCAGTGATTCATGTTATACTTATTGGCGAAAGAGATTACAAATTAGTGATGCAAAAATAAACTCACTGAGATGCTTACTGGGTTATGCTCTGATTATTTTGCGGCGGAGAGATTGTATCACCGAGGAAAGGGAAGTGATTTAGGCAAACATCTAACAAAATGATTGCTGGAGAAGCTTACGGCTGAGCATGGTGCTCTCTGCATCAGTGGGAAATTCATCTAATCAAAGGTCACGTGTTTAGTTGCTGATGTCAGGATTTTCCATGTGTTAGATTAATTTTATCATATGGTTAAGAGTTTGGATATGGCTTTGGATTATGCATTTAGTTTCTTTAGTTTGTCACGAACATGCTCAAGATCTTTACCCTTCTTTTATGTGCACAGCTCAAGATCTTTACCTTGGATTAAAAAATGGTATGTATAATTGCTAAGTGCTAAGCATAAGACAAGTGCATATATATGATCATGCGTTCTCCAGAAGTTGTACAAGGAAACATATAGCAAGCTAACTCATAAATATATGAACTAAATTAATGAAAAATTTCAAATATCATTTCCGGACACTACAGATCTCAGGCTAACACAAACACAAGTTCCAATTTTTTCAAATGATCAAATCCTGGCAGAAGTGGTAAAAGAAACTAACTTTCCACAGTTTCTTAGGCTGAACACACAAGAACCCAACTTCGAAACCGAGGAGGAAACGAACGTACACCCGCAGTTGATAAATTAGACCCTCCTCTCAACCCATACAATCAGATCGTAGAAGTAAAACTAAAATCTCCACCCGTCGAACATAACAGACGAATCATTGAATCAAACGGGTCAATGTCTACACACATTTTTGTAACTTCAAATCCAAACACTTGAGGACTGTATTATTATTTTTGGGTGAGACCAACACGTGTGAGATCATTTCTTATCAAGAGTTGTATCTCAGAGGAATAAAACCCTCAACTTATTAAATACAAGAAAAGTAAATATTGTGAACACAGTAAAAGAGATCTATTAGTTTTAATATAGTAACAAATATATACCTTCTAAAACAAAAAAAATAGTAAAATATGTAATAACAATAGTGAAAATTATAATTAAAAATAAATTAAAATTTTTTATTAAATTTTAGATATATTTCTATTATTTTTTTATTTGTTTACCCGCCCGTAGGGCGGGTCCGGCCCTAGTTAATTAGTAAAGTAATGGTAATTATTGAGTTTGGTTTTAGCTGCCTTTATTTTCTTTAACTTACTCTTCACGTAACTACCGTGTCTATAACACGCTGTCTTTTCTAGTTATGCTGTGAAAACTCTCTTAAAAACAGTTTTTATTTCCACATTTAAACCCAAAATTCTTTAAAACGTATACTTTTTGTCCAAATATTCTAAAAATTATACATTAAACCTTGTATCTAAATATCTCACATAAGTATTTCCTTCCTTGGGATCTTCTTACAAAATGTTGTCGAAAAAGGGTATCTTCCAAAATATCTTTTCTCTCCTCATTGTTGGGAACACCTCCTGCATAATTTAAAAAAAAACTTGGATTATCCAGATTTTTTTTTGTTGCTAAAAAAAAATAATGAAGAAACGATTTGAAATATACATTACTAAATATTTTTCAATTTAAATACAAAATATGTTAATTTAACATAACTATTAAAATAAAGGTTAGTCTATTTTATTTTCTTTAATATGGAAAAATAAAATTTTGTATACAATGTTGTATAAAATAAAATGGTAGAGCAAATTGACGTCAAATAGGTTTACCATTATGATCATTAAATTTGTAAGAAAAAATAATTGTATCCGCGATCAGAGTATGGTATATTTTATTTTCGTAATATAAAATTCTTTAATTAGGATATTTAAGAAGCTTACTGAATGCTCTACCCTTGCATTAAACTTGGCCTCGTTACGTTGGGCTAAATCTGACCCAAGTTTGGGCGACATATTAATCTATTTGGGCTTAAATAAAACGTTCAAATCATTAAATATTCGGTTGGAGAAAGGAAAGGAGAAAAACATAGGTGAGCGAATCCGTAATTTACTAGTCGGTGTGTTACGTAGACGAGCAGAGAGAGACGTTAAGATTCAAATTCAAAAAACTAACAAAAACTTCATGGCTATTTACGTAAATAATACTAAAATAAGGGGCAGATTAACAATAATCTTTTCAGAATCCACACGCTCTTATATATATACTCGTTAAGTCGTAACTAACTCCAAAACCCCTCACTACTCATTTTACTCTCGTCGTCTTCACGAAATCAAAATCCATCGAATCGAACTCGTCTTGATCCTTCTCGTCGCTGATTCTATAGGCTTCAATCGATCAAGGCGACGATGTCTCTCAGGCCTAGCGCGAAGACGGAGGTGAGACGGAACCGGTACAAAGTGGCGGTGGATGCGGAGGAGGGACGGCGGAGGCGTGAGGATCACATGGTTGAGATCAGGAAGAACAAGAGGGAGGAGAATCTGCAGAAGAAGAGACGCGAGGGAATCTCAGCTGCGCAGCAAACGGGAGAGGTTATCTGATTCTCCGTATCGATTTTGATCGCACCTACTATCTAGTTAGAGATCGATTACTCGGATTAGTATACTTGATTTTGTTCTAGATTTCGAAGTTTTCGTGCGAAGTTTATGTATACTTGTGGATACATGGTTCTTGATGAATCTTGTTCATCGGATTTAAGCACAGTTTATATGTATAATGATAAGGTTTCTTGAAGAATCTGGAATCCACGGGAGTGTTTTTGTATAGTTATTAGTTAGAAAGGCTTGTTTGTATTTTTGCAGTTATAAGGCTTAGTATACTTGATTTTGAAGTTTTCTTGCGATGTTTATGTGTTCTTGAGTGGGAGAATACTTGTGAATCCATGTTTCTTGAAGAATCGTGTTCATCAGATTCAAGCATAGTTTATGTATAATTATAAGGTTTGTTGAAGAATCTTAATCCAGGGGAAGTGTTTCTGTATAGTTAGAGATCGATTTCTCGGCTTAGTATTCTTGATTTTGAAGTTCTCTTGCGATGTTTGTGTGTTCTTGAGTTGAAAACTACTTGTGAATCCATGTTTGTTGAAGAATCTAGTTTATGTATAATGGATTAGGTTTCTTGAATACATCGGAAGTGTTTATGTATAGTTATAAGACCTCTTTGTGATTGCAGTTAACAGAAAATCTAGCGGATGTTTTTTCTGGAATATGGTCAGAGGATAACAATTTACAACTTGAAAAGACGATTCTCTTGCGGAAACTGCTTTCATTGGGTTCGTGATTAATAAAGCATTATTAGCAAATCATCGTTTTTGGTTAGAGACTTTAGTATTTATGTTTTCTTTTCTTTTTTTCTTGTGTAGAGCAAAATCCTCCTATAGATGATATTATACAATCTGGTGTTGTCCCTCGCGTTGTGGCGTTTCTTTCAAGAGCTGATTTTCCAGAACTTCAGGTGAGAGCACTTGTAACGGTTATTAAACAGTTTGATGTGTGTTGTTAACTTGATTTTGCTGTTCATGTTGTTTAGTTTGAGGCAGCTTGGGCTCTCACCAACATTGCTTCAGGGACATCAGAGAACACAAATGTCATCATTGAAAGTGGTGCTATCCCGAACTTCATCAATCTTCTCAGCTCGGCTAATGAGCAAGTCCGCGAACAGGTATACGTTTTAAACCCTTACTGTCATCACTGTGTTGTCAAAGAAACTCTTTTAGGTTACCGTTCTGACTTATGAGGTCTGTTTCTTTTTTTCCTTCTGAAATAGGCTGCTTGGGCATTGGGAAACGTTGCTGGAGACTCACCAAAGTGCCGTGATCTTGTCTTAAGTTTCGGTGCCATGTTGCCTCTTCTGTCTCTGTTCAATGAGCATACAAAGCTCTCAATGCTGAGGAATGCTACATGGACTTTATCAAACTTCTGCAGAGGGAAGCCTCAGCCTTCAATTGAGCAGGTTTTTCCTTCAAGATTATTACACACAAGATAAGACCAGATTTGGAATAATATATATCCTAACATGTTTCTGATATGTTGTTTCTCTGTTCTTTGAGCAGACAGGCCCAGCTTTACCAGTGCTTAAGAGCCTTGTGCAATTAACAGATGATGAGGTTCTTACAGATGCATGCTGGGCTCTGTCATACCTCTCGGATAACACTAATGAAACTATACAAGCGATTATCGATGCAGGCGTTGTCCCTCGCATCATCCAGCTCTTAGCGTGAGTATCTTATATATGATTTAAGTTTCAATATTGGTTACGTTATCTGAATGCTTTCCTCTTGTTAGTCATACGTTGCCGGCAGTTCTGACTCCTGCTCTTCGTACCATTGGAAATATTGTAACCGGCAATGATCTACAGACTCAGGTGCATATGTATACATTTCACAGTTCTATTTTAAAGAGTTTTTTTTGGAAAAAAAATAGTGTAAACTTATTCTACAAACAGACGGTTCTCGACCACCAAGTGCTTCCTAGTCTTTTCAACATTATTACAAACAGTTACACCAAGAGTATCAAGAAGGAAGCTTGCTGGACTATCTCAAACATTACAGCTGGGAGTTTCAGTCAGATACAAGTGAGTCTTTTTTTTAACAAGAGAGTCTGAAAAATTGAAGTTTTGCGTATCTGACTTTATTGAATGAACGTGCAGGCAGTGATTGAAGCAGGTATCATTCAGGCTCTTGTTTGGGTACTCCAAAACTCCACAGAGTTCGAAGTGAAAAGAGAAGCTGCTTGGGGAATCTCAAATGCTATTTGTGGTGGCACTCATGATCAAATCAAGTAAAAGGAAAAACAAAACTAAAACTCCAAATCTTTCCTTAATAAACCAAAAGATCATTTGCTATAAAACATGTCTTTTGTTTGTATCCGTTTCAGGTTTATAGTGAGTCAAGGGTGTATCAAACCGATATGCGATCTTCTAACCTGTCCGGATCCAAGAATCGTAATGGTTTGCTTAGAAGCGTTGGAGAACATACTGAAGGTTGGAGAAGCAGTGAAGAGCTCAGGCCTCACAGCAGACGTGAACCTCTACGCTACAATGATAGAGGAAGCAGAAGGACTTGAGAAGATTGAGAATCTTCAGAGCCACGATAACGATGATATATACCAAAAAGCTATGAAAATCCTTGAGAACTATTGGACTGAAGACGACGATGAGGAAGAAGGCAACAATGATGTTCCTTCTGGTCTATTCAACTTTATATGAAAGGTATGCAAGTTTGAATTTGAGTGTTTAGTTGCTTTGGACTTTTTTGAGTTATATTCTTTACACCTATTGCAGGACATATGGGGCAGTGATAACGTGAAGTAGAAGAAATCGTCGCTCACTCCTCACATCTCGTGGGGTATATGATATAAACAATATTGTTTCATGTTTCTTTTGAAGTTTGTCTGTGTTTTCGGGGGAAGAGAAAACAATTACGTTTGGGTGTTTTTCAATAACGAATTTTTGTTACCACGAGTGGAAATTAGCTCAAGTGATTGTGATCTGTTATACTTGTACTCTTGTTTCGTGATATAAGTTTTAGTAGTATTTTATTAAAAACTAGGGGTTGGCACGCCCTACGGGCGGGTGAATTTACAATCAAATTATTTTAATTTTAGAAATATTTGTATTTCATTTTATACTGAAAATAGTAAATGTAATTTTTCTAAAACTATATTGTAAATTTTATTCAGTTTTGTTGATTTGAGTTGAAAAGAAAACTAACCATTTTTAGAGAATAAAAATTATTAAATTAAAGTTTAATGAAAATACGATAACTAATATTTTTATTTATTTATAAGAGTATCAGATTTTAATATTATAACAATAACTAAATTTTCACGATAATAAATTAATACACCCACCTTCAAACTAAATCAATTGAAAATCAAATACAATGTGATAAAATTATTAAAAAAAATATATATTTTAAAGTAATATACAAATAGTTTCAATAATGTCATAAATAATAATTAGTATATATTATGTAACAACAAATGATGTTCTATAATATGTTCGTTTCAGTTTATATTAAATGTTCAATTTATATTATGAGCATATGTATTATTTTTAAGACTGCTTGGTTTATTTGGAACGTTTGTGATGTATTTGTTTCATTGCCTTACCGACTATATTGTAATAATGTGGTGCATTTGTTTATCTGTAGTTGCAATTTATTTTCTGGCCTAAGCATTAATGATTTGTTATCTCTAAAAAAGTTAATGAACTTAAACTTTAGAATTGAATTTAGTAGCGTGAAAACCTTTTTTATAACCATAGATATGCATTATGTTTAGCAGTGTTTGTGTTTTGAAATTTTTTGAGGAGATGCTTCTGGTGTGAGTAACAACTGTATGGCATGACTTTGTGTTATATGTAAAAGGTTTAATAAATGCAAGGGATGTGGTTGACTGAGGAGTGACTCTCTGATAATCATGACACTTTGGAGGGGGTGAGGCGTTTATACGAAGAAGTAGATAAGTGTCTTGTGTTAGGGAATCATTTACTTAGGCATTACTCTACTATAAGGATAATTTTGTTGTTATTAATTATGGTAATTTATGATTTAATTCCCTAACGTCTTTTTTTAGTTTCAGTTTTGGTGAGTTTGGGAAGTAAAAGTTAACTTATGGGCCACTTATTGAGTTGTGGTCGTTAATAGGTAGTGTGGTCTGTCCGTAGGGCTGTGAGCATTTGAACAGGAGAAGTGGTCAGTGTTTTGAGGTGAGTCTCTAACTGTGACTATCAGGTAATATATGATGCTTGTGTTTTTGTTGATATTGGAGTTCGGACAGCACAATTGTTTTCAATTTATAGATAGGAAGTGGAGAATAGTATCTGATCGTCTGTGACTTCGTATGGTAATTTTAAAAATCCCAGAACCTTGTAGTCTTGCAATCTGGAGAGCTGTTGGTGTCCAACCACCAGCCAATTTTCTGCTACTTAACGTAATCTGGGAATGTGCAGTTGATAGTATTGCTCACCTGAGATAGATCAATTTAGAGTTACTGGTATATGCAAGTATTTGGTTGGTGGGAGAAACTTATGAGAGCTAGGCGCTACGTGCGGAATGTCATTTATTAATTATAGCAGAATTTTTTTAAGCTCGTATTGGCAGTGTGTTATATTTATATTTAGAAGTATGTGTGTGTTTAAGTTTTTTGCTTTCCGAAAACGATTTATGCGAGTTAGTGATTGTCGGATGTCAACTGAAAGAGGAATAGATGTGTTGTGAGTGAAGAGTTTGTATTCTTTAGAAGTTGATCTATAATTTACAATGCTGGTGTATCTTATTTAGAGAACAGATTAAATTAAAAAAGATGTAGTCGGCTAACACATTTTACCAACTCCGTAGGTTTTCATTTTTGTGGTTGTTTAATTGTTTCACAAAATAATTTAGTTTAACCTACTTTGTTTATATTTAAAATCACACATTTGGAAAGTTTAACTCTACCGATTCGAATAATCATATTCTAAGAAATAAATCTGAGCATTGCAAAATTTGTTTCTATGCAATACAAAAAAAAGGATTATAAAAATCTAAGAGAAGAAAAAGGAAGAGTTCTCACTTATCACAAATCTGAAAGTGTTTGCACGAACTGCACAGATCCAACGATTCCAGATATCATCAACAATGTGAGCAAGAAGTTTGATAAAGTCCTCAACTGTCTAATCGAGCTGGAAACAAAGGCAAAATGAGAACAAACTAACAAAAAGAAGGTAAATTATTTCATAGAAAGTAAGGAAATACTTTATGCATTAGCAGCAGATCCTTGGATGCATTTGCAAATAGATATTTCTGCCCAGAAGCTTTTAGAGCCTTTTTGTTAATTATTTTCTAGATTCGGTCTGAGCACTTTACACTATCTTACGTGGAACAGTTTCTCCTGTTACAACATTATGCCATTTAGTCTCGTTAGTTTTCTTATTAAGACAAACTGAAAGTGAAACCAACCCACGCGGTTTTCTTACTCATTATCAAGTCATTTTTGTCTTCATTCAATCATGTACTCTACACAACCAACGACCCACCTAGAACACACAAAAAATTCCTAAGCAAACACAAAATAGTGAAACCCAAAAAGCTTACTGCATGTTAGTAGAAAGAGAAACTCTTACTTTACATGTTCCTTCAACTGCGTTAAACTATTCATTTGCTTTAGGAGCTCCTGGTTGGAATAAAACCTCAAGCCTTGAAATTAAACAAAAATAAACTATGAAATTCACTAAAATGGCATGAACTATAAGCAAACATGTGAAACCTACCTCAATTCTGGTGAGAAGCCCTTCAGTATTCCACTCACTTTTCATAACATCAGTGGGCTCATTAAGCTGCTTGATCTGCCACCACACGACAATCCACTCTTTATTAGAATCTTCTTGATACATCAACCAAGAACAATTATTGAAATCAAGGAGTAAAAAGAGAATATGCCTCACTCGGTGCCAAACTATTCTTCTAAAGTGACGTCTAGAAGAAAGCAAAGGCCATCTACTCAACGTTCTCCCTAAAACCTCTTCGAAAATCAATGTTGCTATCTCCACCACAGGCATGCCTTGCTTTGCAAACTCCGAAACTTCAACAACATCATCCTTAACAATCCCATTTACCATGAACCAAAAACTCTTCAGCATCGTACTTTAAATGACAGAGCAAGTAATCAAATTCTTTGTCATATCATGGAAGTTTTCCCTTAGTCAACATAGTCCCCAACATATCAGCAACTATACTCACATTGAGTTTGTTCTCGTTACCAGAAACCATAACACCAAGAATGTTATATTAGTCAAACTCCACTGTGAGTTTCTCAGTTTCCTGGGAAACTTCTGATTCATCTCCTTCTTCATGCTTGAAGAATGTAATAACGGCTCCTACAGAACATGGCCATCGCCTGCTTTCCCACACTGATTCTCTTCCTCCTCTGGTTTCGATACATGATTAGGCTTGCCCAGTGCCGTCGCAGGAAAAGAACATGACGCATCGGTGCCGGTGCCGTGATCCGTCGCAGGAAGAGGAGAGCGGCACATCGCTTCAACTGTTGAATCAATGGAATCTCAAAATAAATGTTGGAATTAAGCACATGCGACGTTCAGGCTCAAAGTTTATAGTAAATGCGTTAATATGGAACGTCAGCCTCTTTATACTTGTTAGGAATTTCAAAGAAAATGAAGAGGTGCACAGAAAGCTTAATGAAGGAGTGGATTAATCGACTGGAATTAAGAAGCTGCAAGACGTTATGGATAGCAAAAGGACTGATTCGTCTCTCTGAAATCTCGGAGGTGAAGCATCGAGAGGAAGAAGAAAGAAGCGTGAAGACCTAAATTCCGACGGGCCACAAATCATTATGTCCACCTGGGCTGAACTGGGCTTATTTTCTGAACACAAAAACAAAGCAAGGCCCGTATTTAATAATACCTCAGTCGCGCGGAAGAAAAAATGCATGAGAGACACAGCACCAACCACAGCACGACACATGGCGAGAAAGCCCCCATATAGAAAAGTGATGTGGACAGCTGAGAGGGCAGATATCTCTGCTTTATTATTATAGATATATAAGTTTGAAAACAGAGTAGCTTGAATAGGTCTTGGATTCTAATAAGAGCACATTTTTGAGTAATGGTCGTCAATGTTATATATTTAAGTGAATGTGAAAGGGTGTTGAACCATTGCAATTGTTTATGAACAATTACAACTACATAAATGAAACCTTGCAACTTTTGGTAATGGCAACCTTTGGTAATAACTACCTTTACAATTGCAACCTTTGGTGATTAACCATTGATAATTGCAACCTTTGGTAATAACTACCTTTATGATTGCAACCCTTGGTGATTAACCATTGCAACTCTTTAACTAACCATTGCAACCCTTCCTTAACCATTGCAACCATTAGTATTAACCATTGCATCTTTTGGATTAACCATTGCAACCATTGGTTGCAACCTTTCATTCTCTATATAAAGGGATGTAGGCATTGGCAAATGAGATAGAAAAAAAATCAGAAACAAATAGTTAGTAAGAGAGTAAGAGAGAAATAGATTCATTGTTTAAAGATCATCAAAGATCTTTGAA